TAATATGAAGAGATCGGTTCAGAAGCCTTCTCGAAGATCCAAACATGAAAAGAGCAAGAAATATCGAAAGAAGGATTCAGAGAAAATGGTCGAAATGAATCAACGCAATGATTTTAACCGTAATGATCATTTCTAGAGATCATTCGCATCTTAAACATTAAAAGCGATTGCTAAAATTTTTCGTTTTCTTCAATTCAGTCGCCTAGAGTGGAGGAATACCGTAAGTTATTGTTGGGAAATGAAATGTTTCTAGGTAAAGTAGTCGTAGATTCAGTGAAAAGATCTTTCAGTGAACTGTTATACGCCACCAATAGCAAAAAGCTCAAGTGATCAAAGCTCTCATTGTTCCGTTCGTGTGAGATTTTATGTTGCCTACAAATTTCTCTGTTCTAATCGCATACTTCCATCGTTCTGTGGCTGTGTTTTTGAGGAGGTCCACCACAAGATGAGAATTATCATCAGCGACTTTGAATCTGTCACATAATAGTGACTGATGAAAAGAAATAAGAACTGAAAATTCGATTTTTCGTTAGCTTATTGTATTTGATATCATCCTATTTGGATATTCTGAGAGTGTTTTACCGATGTGTTCGTTATTACAAAGCCCGTTTGGTAATGTGATTGAATTTCAGAGCGAACACAATGCTCCAAAATTGAAGGATTATAATCGTTTGGTGGATGTGAAACTCTATTTAAGACATTTTCGTTCCGATGGTAAACTCCAAGAGAAGCTGTTCAATGCCAAAACAAAAAGCGTTATCACTATCCTTGACACACTCCGATTACTGCTTCGAAATAACACAATACCACTTGCGTAAGTGTTTCCATATTACGAGTTGAGTGAATGCTCCAGATCGGATCTTCTACATCCAGACATCTTCAACTGATATTTTTCTAAATTTGCCAGTCACCAGATAAAATTGGCCGGATAGAGGTGGGTAACCAAGGCAACATGATGTAAAGGTTGAATATAACAGGTGTGCATTGATAAATTAAAGGTAAAGTATTGATGAAATGATGGAATTGTGGTGATATACAGATGAATTTGCAGGAATCATACTTTTGGACGATTGTTTCTGCTAAGAGATCGAATCAAAAGCAACGATTGTCGTGTAGAAGAGTTAGCTTATAATACGTATCGTTACGTGACACTGGAAGAAATGGAACCACAACGGGATGAGCATGTGTTTATATTGGATCTGACAGATACATTTCTCGACGAACCTCTAATCAAAGGACATAATCGCTAACGATCTTGTGGCATGCTATGTCATCAATGAATGATAGTTCAATTACCTCCCTAAAACCCATTTGGGATCTCTTTTATCTCTTCTGATATAATGCAATATCACAGTTCCACTACAGATACCGTTATTCAATTTAGTGCGATTTGTTGGAATAAAAATACAAGCAAGCAGTTAACTGTTTTGATTGAACCAATAAACATTTTTATTAAAGAATAAAAGAGTGATAAAGCATGAAACGTACTGAAAACAGTTCAAACGGAAATCAACATAATGCACTCCAAAAGAATTTCGTACAATTTACACGTAACCTGTCATGACAATATAAAAATGTAAAAAAATTTGCCACACGATGCCGAAAAAGCATAAATTTCCTGGAAACAACTTGAAAGCGTTGAATCAACGAATGAATACGCCAACTAGGCAGAGGTTCCATTCAGTCAGAACAAAACAGAAGTGAAATTCACTTCAGTGAATCAGCTTTCCCAATCATACGGATATTCTTTCACGTTATTATTCACGAGTGCATTCTGCATGAGCGTTTTCATCTTGCGATAGTCTGGTGTTGCGTAATAACTGCAAAATGACAAAAAATTCAATAGAACTCCCAGACAGTTTTAAATGCGATAATGATGATTTGAACAGAACATAGCTTAATGGTAACCTTAAAATTGGGAATTAGTAACTGAATTACACTTGAGTAGGATAGAGTCAATTTCACCTTAGAGAATCAATATACTTCAGAATCGCACTGTATTCCACTGGAGAATCTTTGAATAGCTCAGCTGAACTCGTTGTCCGACATTTTTCTTTGCTCTGAGCTACTAGCTTTTTGTCTTGTTCCAGGCACTTCCACGGTAGATTCCCGGTTGTCAACTCCACCTTCAAAACTCGTTCAAGGTCAAGATCAAACCCTCTCTGTATCCAATTTCTGAATTTGCTGCTGTTCCATAAAATAAGTTAGAGTTAAACAATTTCAAGCATCCGAATAAGCCGAATCACTGCAAAGCACTGCGCGTCATCAGCAGACCTGTTGATAGAGCCACGATTCCAAATCATCTTTCCTGCATTGCTCTCGTGATATATGACAACTGAGTGCGGCATATCTGAATTTCAATAACTTATCTAAAGTTTAAAGTCAAGTAAATATCAAACTGTTTCGGCGAAAAATACCATCCAATCAAACTCACCGAATTGTTCCTCGGAAGCCAGCCGCCCATCTAGGTGCTCGTATCTCCCCATTCCGACTAACATATTTACGACACAAACCCAAATCCAATAAATATATCTTTCTCAAATCTCGTTTATCTATAGCATAGTTGGCTGGCTTAATATCTCTGTGGAGATACCTTAAAAACATCACTTCCTATCCAGATATTCCTTCCTGTCTCTATTGTAAAGTGATCCAATGGCAGCGGTTGTATTCGAAGGCAAACTCAAGCTGAACATGAATCAAGTGAAATGCAGTGAAACCATTGTAGACAATGTCAAAAGATTTGTTGGACTGCACGCTTCATGGAATGAACACAGCAATCAAAATGGAAAGAAAGCAAATGAGAAGCTAACCCGACTCCGTGCAGTTCTTCAATCGCTTCAAGGCATTTCACACCAACGGATATCGCACATCCGAGTGTGAATCGCTCTTGTTTATTGCCTTTGTCAGTGTTCGCTTTTCGTAACTCCTTCAAAGTGAAAAATGGGTGATGATGAATGGTCGTATGTCGAAATTATCAAATGAATGAATAACGACCAAAAAATGAAGCTCTCTCCAATAATGTATCAAATTACTTCATTTAAGGCAGTGGTTCTCATAGGGGTGAAATTACCCATTTTGTGTTATTTGGAGGTGTCAATGGGTAATGAAGGGGTGGGAAAATTAGTATTTAGTGCAGTTGTGATGCTATGATAGAACGTCATTGTGGTGGTGCTTTTCATTTCGGATATGTAAATGCGGTTAGTTGATGGCAACGTTGAAATTGTGTCCATGTGTCTTTAAATGCCGTTTTAGCAGGGTTTTCATTCTTTTCCTGGCTGTTACAATCGCTCTCATAACTTTTATCATCAAAAGTGTTCTCTTCTGCCAATTTCTCATTCATTTCACTCAACAATTAAAGTCAAATTCTCATTCTATGAAACACACTATAATTG